GTGGCATCATTGATGGACTCAGGGGTGGCAGCGGTGGTGAGGTTGGCCCAGGATCGAGCATTGTTTCGTTCTGCTGTGCGTGGGGTCGCTATGAGTCGGTTCCGACTCGATGGCACCTGACAACAACAACAACAATGTGGTGAAACCGACTGCAGGGCACACCACGAAGTCCTGGTATGGTGGGTGCCTCAGTATAATAAGCTAGATTGCAAGGTCAGTTTGAACTGTAAGGTCAGCGGTTCAAACTCACCAGACACTCCTTGGAAACCCTGCACAGGGTCACTATAAGTCGGAACCGACTGGATGGCACTTAACAAGTCTCCTCTGGTGTGGCACCATAAGATAAGCACTGGACCTGAAGGCTGGTTTGAACCTCAAGGTTGGCAGTTCAAACTCAACAGTTGCTTCTTGTAAACCCTATACAGGGTAGCTATGAGTTGGAGCTGATGCAAAGGCACTTAACAACAACAAAGTCTACTTTCTGTGCACTCCTTGGGAGACTTTACTCAGTTGCATGGCTTTAAATATGAAAATGACTCCCAAATACTTATTTCCAACTCATGACTATTGTATCTCCACTGGTATTTCTACAAGGCACTGTAAAACGAAGTATGTCTAAAATTGTTGCTATTAAGTGTCATTGGTTCCAACATAGCGACGCCCTGTATAGGGTTTATGAGGAGCAGCTAGTGAGCTTGAACCACCCTTTGTGGTTCAAAACAATAGAACTCTAGATTTCTGCCCTCCCTCTCCCTCCGAAAAGGAAAACTATCTGCTGCCATCTTCAACTCACTAGAGGTTGCTTTGATTCTTCAGTGTGCCTCATCTTTGATCTCCATTCCCTCTTGAATTCATCCACTTCTCTGACTTCTTCCACTACCTATTTCAAGCCACCATCATCTCACTACAACCTCTTGACTCTACCTCCAGTCTTGTTTTTAATTCAGTCTTCATTTCTTCAAAGATGCAGTGCTGGTGTGGCACTGTGGGCTAATGCACTGGACTGCAAAATCGGTTTGAATCGTAAGTTTGGCAGTTCAAGTTCATCAGTTGCTCCTTGGGAACCCTATATAGGGTTGCTATGGGTTGAATCTGACTTGACAGCACTTAAAAATTCTTCATATAGGTGACCAACTATTTTTCAAAATATTACGTAGTTATTATGTACCCAGCACTTCACTTAATATCAATGGTGGTGGTAGTATATGCCATGCAGTCAGTTCTGACTCATAGCGACTCTGTACAGGGCTTCCAAGCCTGTAAATCTTTACGGGAGCAGAAAGTCTCATCTTTCTCCCGCTGCACAGCTGGTTAGTTTTGAGCTGCTGACCTTGCGGTTTGCAGCCCAATTCGTAACCACTACACTACCAGAGCTCCTTTAATATCAATGAGTTATATCAAATAAAAATCAGATGTTACACTGTACTTTAAAACTCCCATGGTTTCCCTTGCTCACAGAACAAAATCTCAACTAGCTAAAGTCCAATACAAGTTTAGTTCCTGCCTGAATTTCAAATTTCACTTCATACCACTCTTCCTTTTTCTTGGCTTTTCCAACTGCACTTGCTTTCAGCATCTCAGACATTGCCCCTGCCTTCATTGGGTCGTTGCACTTGCTTTTTTTGCCTTGGACACTCTTTCCTCAGATTTTTCCATGACTGCTTCACTCTTATCCTTTGTGTCAACTCAAATGTGACCTCAAGAGAGTCCTCCCCATCACCCTCTCTTCATCCTATTTCATTTGAAGCATATCTTGTCTGTTTGTTCACTTATTGTCACCACACCACAATATAAACTTATGAAGAACCTTGTCTAACTTGTTAGTCAGTCTTGACTTCTGCTGTGGTGTTGTAGGATCAGCACTGGACTATGAACCACAAGGTCAGCAGTTCAAACCCACCAGCTGTTCAGAGATTCTATACAGGGTCACTATGAGTCAGAACCTACTCAATAGCACTTAAGAAGTCAGCTTTTAAGAACAGGACTTGCCTGAAACTGTTGTTTCCCCTCTGGGTTACAGATAAAACATATAGCTATAATTGAATGAACTTTCTCTTGTTCCTTTCACAGATAAAAGTAACCCTGTCCTTGGAAATGGTATATGTAAATGTGACTGTTAGCCTTTATAAAACATATAAAATACGTATTTACCCAAGTAAATCTGGATCAGACGTTTAGGTATCAGTGACTTAAATTCTGTCTCTTCATTTGGGAAACCTGAATTGGCTTTGTGTGGCATGGGGCATGCCCCCACAACTGAATAAAATTACCTTCAATACATGCTATCATTAAGTATCACTGAGTTGGTTCTGACTTATAGCGACCCTATATAGGGTTTCCAAGGAGTGACCAGTGACTTTGAACCACCTACCTTGTGGTCCAGTGCCTATCCTAAGCACCACACCAGGACTTCTAGGTGCCCAAATACATGTTGATTGAACTCTGAGTGAAGAACACTTTGAGGTTTTTATGCCATTTAAAGGGATAATTTAAAGTGAATAAACTGTAATGGTGTGGTGCTGGAAGTTAATGCTTTGGACTGCAAGATTGGTTTGAACCACAAGGTTGGCAGTTCAAACTCACCAGCTGCTCCTCAGAAACCCTATCTATACAGAGTCACTATAAGTCAAAATGGACTCGATGGCACTTCACAGTAACATACTGTAATGACCTAAGAGAACTCCCTCAAGACAGTAAATTATATTGAGTGCCAAAGACAAGATGTGGACCCAGTTTCCCAAAAGGCTATATTCTGTGCAACAGCACACGTACAGAATAGAATAGCTAAATGTCAAATAAAGCCTGGAGCTCTGGGGTTAGCCTAGCTGCAATCACGAGAGAGTAGGTATGAAAAAGGTTCATGGATAGCATGCACGAGGTAGTCATCAAGAACACTGAGCTACCACTTAACTAAGACTGGGCCAGGGCCACCTACTACAGCATGAGGTAAAGCTTTGACATAATGAATCTGTGATTCACTAGCTATACAAATTAAAAGTTTAACTTATTAAACTTTACTGAGACCTTGCACTTCTCTATATAATTGTCTACCTCAGTTAGTCTTTTACTAAAAGTAATACAGAAACGGCTACAAGCATACATTGACAGAGAACTTCCAGAGATTCAAGCTGGATTCAGAGGAGGCTGTGGAATGAGGGATATCACTGCTGATGTCCGATGGATCTTGGCTGAAAGCAGAGAATATCAGAAAGATGTTTA